CACAGGGGAGGAAGAACGCAGAGGTGTGGGAGGCCAGGCGTTGGCATTTAGCCCTCAGAAATTAAGTGGGAGGGGCTGGCCCCGTGGCGTAGTGGTTAAGTGCATGTGCTCCACTGCTGGTGGCCTGGGTTTGGATCCCGGGAGTGACCCGACACACCGCTTGTCAGGCCATGCTGTGGCGGCGTCCCACATAAAGTGGAGGAAGATGGGCACGGATGTTAGCTCAGGGCCAGTCTTCCTCAGCAAAAAGAGGAGGATTCGCATGGATGTTAGCTCAGGGCTGATCTTCCTCACACACAAAAAAGAAATTAAGTCGGAATGGTCATCATAAATCCAGCAGGCTCTAAATGAGGCAAGATCTCATGCTGGAAGGCCCTAAAAAGTTAAATCGAAGATGACCACTAAAGTCTTGCTCGATCTGTATAACCAACAAAACATAAGAAACAAAGCAAAACAAAACCCAAAAGTATTCTCTAGCCCTGGCAAAAAAATTCCTGACTTGAGCCACCATGATAGTTACAGATCACCAACACCTAGGCTTGAGTTTGTTGATTGATCTACCCTTTGAATGAAGGCTATGCTGCTTGCCATTGAGGAAGGACTTGCTATACGACTACACGAGTGGAATGTGATCATCTCTCTCGCTGTCTCCAAAAGAGCCTGTGGCCATTTACCACAGTAACTGGGTGTTGAAGAAAGGGAAATACCCAAACCTTTCAGGGACCCTTGGATGAAGATTTTGAGCCACTACCAATTTTTTGGGTCCAAGAGTACCTGTAGGTCCACCAATCATGTGAAAAATAGCGTTTTGACCTTTCTCTATGTCACTGGAAATCTAGTGGGATCCCAAACCTATCCTGTAGCTCCAGTTTCTGAGTGATAGTTGGAGAAGATCCCCACATTGGCTCCCTGACCCATGGAGCCATTATAATATAAAAGGCCAATAGAATCCAATTGAACAACTGTTTCAAAATAGAAAACTCAATAGCGGTACCACATCTTTGTGGAGGCTGTAGAGATTAATGCCTTCACCAAAGACCCTACAGGGTGATGACTCCTATCAAAACACCATTAGTTTCCTCTATTTGGCTGGTGCAAAATTAGATGTCTTGAAAAATGACGGTGGATTATTTTAATCAAGCGGCAATTCCAATTTAGCTGCTGTGTTAGATATGTACTTCTTATTACAGTCCCTGGAGCTAATATGCATTTATTGGTTTGGTTCCAAGAAACAGAAACCACTGGAAGCATTTTGCTACGAGCTGGAAGGGATAACAGTCTTCCTTTACTATTTAACTCAGGATACCTCAGTTCTCCAGCTCTGCACCAGAAACACTTCAACTCCCTGATCATCCCTATTCCACAAGACATCAAACTAATCCACTACACTAATTAAATCACATTAATAGGGCCTGGAGAGCAGAAAGTGTATTTTTGGTTATACACGAGATAGTTTCCTCATGTTAGGAACCTTTATAAAACTGTGTATGGGAAGATGTGAGCATATGGTGTGCTGGGCAGCCAACGGTTGGAATGTAGTGGGCATGTGCTATTTTTGCCTATTAACATCCCTCCCCTTTATTTTGGTGATATCACATGGCCGTTTCTCTGGGTAAATACCTTTCTTCCACCCTACCTGGTCTGTTATAGATGTGAATCCAGGTACCCTGCCCTCCATCCCCACCAAGGGAGAGGCATATGACTCAAGCTAGGCAAATCAACCTCTCCCCTGGGATTGGTACTGTGAGCAGAAAGATCTAGGGAAGGGAGGTGATTGGAGGCGGGTCATTTGGATGGCAACGTCCTAAACAGAAGGTTCATGGGTCCTGCTACGGAGGGTCCTAGAGCTTCCCTCATTCCTGTATTTCCTGAGGCCTGGCCAGTCAGCTTTTCCTTTGATGGGTGAACAGCACCAATACCCTTCTGCAGTGGGCTGAATGGTGGTCCCAAAGATATGTCCACATCCTAATCTCTGGAACCCATAAATGTTACTTTATTTAGAAAAAGGGTCTTTTTGCAGATGTGATTAAGTTAAGGATCTTGAGATGAGACCATCTTGGATTATCCAGATGGGCCCTAAATGCCACCACAGGTGTCCTTATGAGAAAGAAGCACTGGGAAATTTGACACACACAGAGGAGAAGGCGATGTGATGACAGAGGGAGAGATTGGAGTGATGCGGCCACAAGCCTAGGAATGGCAGCAACCACCAGAAGCTAGGAGAGGCAAGGAAAAGATTCTCCCCTAGAGCCTCTGGAGGGAGTGTGGCCCTGCTGACACCTTGATTTTGGATTCCTGGCCTTCACTTTTTTCTTAAGGTAGTCAGTTTCTGTTGTTTGCAACCAAAGAACCCTAACTATAACAGTTGTTCATCACTTTAATTATTTACTCCAATGAATTATCCTTTTTGACAAAGTTAGTTCCAGCTGGATTCCTGTCACTTGCAACCTGTGCCAAATCCAAGATTAGAATCAGAAAATGTGGATTCTGAGTCCCTCCACATATCACCCACCCTCCCCAAACATCCAGAAAGCACACCAGGCAGCCAGCATCGTACAGGCAGAAGCAGGTCCCTGGGCCCAGCGTCTTTATTTGCATAATGGTTTTCAGTGATGCATGGGAGTGGGAGTGAGTTGTTGCTTTTCTACCAGGACCACACACAACCTCGTGATGGACGCAGGAGACGATTCTCCCGAGCTTTCCCCACAGCAGCTTTAGGGACTTGTCTGTGGGGTCAGTGAGTCTGGAACATCGGGCTCCTTGGTATGTTCAGCAAGACCATAAGGGTGGTGCATGCAGCCCTCCTGGTCTCTGTGCCCCGACCTGGGCACAGCTGGGCCCACACATTACGAGGTGAGCGTGCAGGAGGGCTGGTGCGTGCGTGGTGAATTCACGAGCGGCCCCTTGGCTTAGCTCCAGTCTCTGCTCCAATCTGGAGACTTGGAATCCACCACGTGTGGGGGCCGACTATGTACCAGGGTATGACACAAGACCTTCACACCTGCCGTTCCCTCTGCTTGGAATATGCTTCCTGGAACCCCCATTGGCTAATTAGCTATTTATCCGTATAATGGCAGGTTAAATTGTCGCTTGATCAGGAAAGTCTTCTCTGACCTTCTTGGTTATTCTAGTCCCCTGTAGTTAGTAGAGCTCACTATTACATATTTATGTGATTATTAGATTAAAATCCCTCTCCCTCACTAGTCTGCAAGCTTCACGAGTACAGGGATATATATTTGTTCCCTATCATATCTCTTAAACCCAGTAAACAGTCAATAAATTGGAAGCCACGTGGGTAAAGTAAATCTGAGAAGTGGTGGGGCTAAGACAGTGGTGTCTGTGTGGGTGGGGGGTGGGGGGAGGACACTATGGGGAACTGGAGAGTGCATGCCTCACCCAAAGGCATTCAAATTAAAAAAATATACTAAAAATACTGTTTAGCTAAATAAAACATGTCTGCAGGCCTCATATGAAGCCCCAGCTTATGATTCTTCCAAAAGATATTTGTTGAATGAGTGAGTGAAGCATCTACAAGGATCACTGTAAAGTCTCAAATGGCAAGGAGGGAGAAGGGCAGAAATGAAAGGACCTCCTTTTCAGTCTTGTCTACACCCTCTCTAAGGCGAGGTCTCTCTCTGGCTATTTCCTCTTTCTCCCCAGTGCTTGGCACACAGTAGGCTGTACAAATTGGTTGATCCATTCAACATTTACCAAATACCTACTCCTCCCCAAGGTTGGGTTCAACCATTCAATGTCTTCCATCTTGAGCTCAGTGTGGTGTGACTGTCAGAGCCACAGTCAGGTAATGACAATACAGTGATGGGCGTTCAAGCAACAGTACGTGAAAAGGGCTATGGGAACCATCCCCTCCCAACTTTCTCAGCAAGTGGAGAGAAGATACAGCAGGGGAGTACAAGAGACACGCCCCCAGCCAGGATGAGGGGGTGGAGCTGGCCAAAAGGGGAGGAGTCTCAAGCATTTGCCTGGATGGTCACTCAAGGTACAGCTGGAGGTCTGTGTGGTGCACAGAAGGGAACTGCCAAGGTCAGATTTGGGGATCCGACATGGGGGACAGGTGTCCATGCACGGCAGCCCCTTGCCACCAACATGTCAGAACTCAGCTGGCTTTAAGTCAGTGCCTCCCTGCTCCACTGGGCTGTCATCTCCCTCTGGGGCACAGATTGTGACAATGGGATGAAATCTGGAGATGGGGCAAGGAATTGCCCACTTCACACATCAGGTCCTAGCAGAGCTCGGTCTAGACCTCAGGCCTCAGGCTAGGGCCCCTTCAGACTTTCTGCATCTCAAGCCAGCCCTGAGAGGAAGCTGCAGGAGACTATTGCTTAACAAATCTTGCATATCAGCTAAGAAGGCAGCTCTTTCCTCCCAGACTTCATCTTTGAGAGCTTACCCCTCTTGGAAGCTCCTGGAAGAGAACCACAGCTGAGGTCCAGGGCTCCTACTTCTGAATCCCCTGTCTGGTCCTTTCTCTAGCTCTGACAGAGGGTTCTAACTCTATGGATCAACTCTGGGGATCCACGAACCCCCTAAAACCACAGATAAACTTTGTGAGGGCAGAAGGAAGACAGAGGGGAAGGAACATTGGTCTTGGAAGACCAACAATGCAGATTACAAACTTGGCTCCACTACTTCTAGCTGTTTGACATTTGGGCGAGTCATTGCACCTCTCTGAGCCTCAGTTTCCTCATCTGTGAAATGGGGATAATTCTCATCCTCCAACATAGGGCCAAACGTGAGATGGCTAATAGAGAGATGCTTAGGAATTGTTAGCATCCTTTCAACTTACTCCCTTTGGCTCATGCCTGCTTCATGGATGGCATGGAGGTTCATTTATAAAGGTCTCTGGGCTGTTCTCCAGGCTCACAGAATCTACGGTAACACTATGCTGCCGTGGGCCTTTGGAGAAAGGGACCCAGCTTCTGGGTCTCATTCCTCAGGCCAGGGTGAGTGATCCTGAGAGGTCATGCTACCATGAAGATCTTAAGCAAGGGAGGAATCTCTGCTCTGTTGCAGCTGACCGAAGGGATGTGGGAAGGCGGGTATGGAGCCCTGGTTTTAATAAATCTGAGAGCGTGGAGGCCCACTGGGGGCCTGGGCCTCCAGGTCTACAGACCTTCCCTCTTGGGAGGTCTCGCGGGATGTCTCCAGAGATGCCTCCGACACTCCATCAACGCTGCTCAGCAAGTCCTCAAACTCCCGGTGGTCGCTGTTGCGCACGGCGGCCTCCAGAGCCTTCTGGCACCGGTAGAAGTGGGAGAACTTGTTGAAGATGATGGTGATGGGGAGCGCTACCACCAGGATGCCCCCCAGGATGCAGCCTGAGGCTGCCAGCTTGCCAGCCACGGTGACTGGCACCACGTCCCCATAGCCCACGGTGGTCATGCTCACTGTGCCCCACCACCAGCAGGCCGGGATGGTGTCAAAGCCCACCTCCTCCTCCTTCTCAGCTGTGTAGGCCACGCAGGAGAACACAGACACACCCACGGCCAGGTATAGCAGTAAGATGCCCACCTCACGGTAGCTGTGCTGGAAGAGAAGGTAATAAGTCAAGTCAGAGCTGGGGGTGCTTACAGACTTGGTATTGGGGATATGGGGAAACTGAGGCCCAGAGAGCAGAAGGGACAGGTCTGAAGTCACAGAGCACGGTGGAGTTGGTGCCAAGACCCAGGTCCCCTGACTCCAAACTAAGATCTCTCAACTACAATAGGCAGCAAACCCCTTGGGACGGAACACAGGCCTAATTTCTGTTGTCCAAGGTGTCTGCTAAGCCACAGTTGTTTCTTCTAATGCAGGGGCACTGGTGGCACCAGCCAGGTAGTGAAAAGCTTGTGGTTTTTACATGGTTGCAGAACCAAGAGAGAATCACAGTTTATATTCCACCATGCGAGTTGCTTTCATGTACTTTTAACTGCTCTATCACATTTCTGATAAATACTAAAATATTTTCTGCCCCTCAAGGAAACTGAGAGGACAGACCACCCCGTGAATACACTTGCCTATGGGTGTGGCCAAGCCCTAGGGCAGTGGTTCTCAAATAGGGCAATTCTGCCTCCTGGGGCACATTTGGCAATGTCCGGAGACATTTTTGGTTGTCACAACTGGGGCAGGTGTGCCTCTGGCATCTAGTGGGTGGAGGCCAGGGATGCTGCTAAACATCCTACAGTGCACAGGACGGCTCCACAACAAAGAATTATCTGGCCCCAAATGTCAATAGTGCCGAGGCTGAGAACCCCTGGTCTAGAACAGGGCCTTCCAAACTATAATGTGTGGAGGAATCATGTAGGCATCTTGTTTAAAGGCAAAACCCAACTGAGTAGGTCTGGGGTAGAGCCAGAGATTCTGCAATTCTAGCAAGACTCCAGGTAATGAGAAAGCTGCTACTGGCCAGGGGCCTCACTTTGAGTAACAAGGCTCTCATCTGGAGTCTTACACCTGTGTCTTGGACCCTGGCTTCAATCAATACTCTTCTCCCTCCTTGCAGAAAAAGCTAGTAGCATCAGGCTCTGGTTCCCTGCATGGTGGAGGCAAGGCAGAGTTCTGCGGCGGAGGGATCTTCCCTAGAAAGATGCTGAGTTCATGGGGTCTGGCTAACGGAATTCCCTGTACCTGCCCATCGCCCTAGCATTCTGCCCAGGTCACCTGCCTGCACCCAGCACCCTGGCTGCCCTGCCATGATGGCATGGAAAGGCTTTACTAAGCCATGGGTGGAAGGGATCTTTCAGTGCCTTCTAGGGATCCTCAGCAGGGCTGCACGGAGCTTTAGGAGAAAGAGCATGAGGTGCTGGAGTCAGGCACAGCTGGGCTCTTCTCTGGGCTCTGCCACTTACTCACCGAGGAACCTTTGACAAGTCCTATCACCTCTCGGAGCCTCAGTTTCCACATCTGCAAAGTAGTGACAATAACACATGCCCCTGCTTAAACCTCTCACAGGCTTCCCTATCCTTGGGGATCAGGTCCAAAATTGAGGGCCAAGAGTTCACAGCCCTTCAGTACCCTGTCCCACTCACTTCTTCAACCTCATCAGCTGGCACCCCTTCCCTCCATGTCCCCTCCCAGCATTCATCCTGCTCTCTCTCTGAGCCTTTGTCCAAGCTGTTCACATTTCCCCCCTCCCCAAAGCAGGCTAATTTCACTCCTTCGAGGGTAAGCTTGCCAGGGCAGTGACTCACTCCCAGGGCAGGGCTGACACAAGCAGAGTGCTCAGTAAATTGCAACCAGGCTTACAAAGGCCAAGCCTCCAATCTCAGGTTCTTCATGTACGGGAAGGGAATAAATAATAGCATCTTCCTGAGGAAGTTGTCCTGAGGACGAAATCAATAATGATGTGAACTTGGCACAGAACTAGCACTCAGGAAGTGTTAGCTCTGGAGCTATTGCTGGACTTACCCTATTAAGGGTGACCTATGCTATCTGTGCCTCCTGATAATGCCAGAGGAAAGGCTCACTGGAGAAGGCAGTTAGCATCCTGCTTCGCATATTTTGTGCTATGTACTATTTGACGTTTGACAGATAGATCAAAAATGACCTTTGCCTTTTTCTTCCTCCCCTGGGAAACAGAAATACCAGAAAGCCGTTCCTTACATGACTGTTGGGAAGGTCAGACTGGATACGAAATGTACACCTGGTATCTAGCCCTGTGCTTGGCACAAAGAATGTCGTCTCAGTTCACTGGGCGCCTGGACACAGCAGGCTTGTAAGTTCACCTGCTAACCAGCCCGATGGTTATACCCACCTCCCCCTGACCCCCAACTCCGCCTCAGAGGCCTTACCTTGAGCGTGGCACCCAGGGAGCGCAGCCCGGTGGAGTGACGCGCCAACTTGAGCACGCGGAAGATGCGCATGAGGCGGAACACCTGCACCACCTTGCCCAGGTCGCCGAGATCCTCGCCGCTCGCGCCGCCCTGGTCGCCGAGCGCCGCGCCAGCCACCAGCGTGAGATAGAAGGGCAGCACGGACACGATGTCGATGAGGTTGAGCGGGTGGCAGAAGAAGTTGCGCGCGCTGGGCGCCAGCAGGAGGCGCGACGACACCTCGAAGCTGAACCAGGCGATGCAGAAGTACTCGAGGCGCCGCAGCACCGGGTCGTCGCGCGTGCCTTCCGCGCTGCGGCCCGCGACCACCGCAGCCACGGCGGCCGCCGCCTCGCGGGCCTGGTACTCGGGCAGACTGTGGATGCACATGGCGGCGATGGAGGCGAGCACCACGCCGATAGAGACGCAGCTGAAGAGCTTGCTGGGCAGCGAGTATCCCGGGTTCTCCATGGTGAGCCAGAGGCGGCGGCGCAGGCGGCCACAGCGCGCCGCGCCATAGCGCGCCAGCTCGCGCTGCACGTCAGAGATCTCGTCGGGGCACGGGTCCACGCTGCTCGGCGTGTCACTGTCCTCGTCCCAGTCGCGCGGCCGCGCCACGTGCCGCTCCAGGTAGCGCGCGCGGCAGCATGTGGCCAGCGCGCTCTCGCCCAGGCCCCAGTAGTCGGCCTCCTGGCCGAAGGCGAAGACGCACAGCTCGTCGAGCACGTGCAGGCGGCCGGTGCGGTAGAAGTGCAGCAGGCCCAGGAAGAAGCCCGGGTGCCGGTCGAAGTAGAACTCGCGCGCCGCCTCGTCGTAGTCGTCGCACAGGCGCCGCGCCTGCTCCTCCGACGCCGCGGCCTGCAGGCGGCCCAGCCGCGTGCCCGGGAAGCGCGCCAGGGCGCGCGCGCTCAGCCGCCGCCGCACCCCGCCCACGTTCACGCGCAGCGCCTCGTCGCTTCGCCGCCAGGAGACCCCGGCGCTGGGCACCGGGGACTCGCTCACCACAGCTGCAGCGCGCCGACCTGTGGACACGGGAGGGACGCGCTGAGGGGGTCCCTGGCCCTCCCTTCCAGGAAGACCGGGTTTAAATCCCCTGCTCCATCCACCAGCCAGGGGTGTTGGAGGCTCACTGTGAAGCCTCTGGTAGGCAGTAGGCGCTCATTAGGTGCCAAGTGCCCTCTAGACTCAAGAGTCGGGCTTGGGTTTGAATAGCCCACAGTCCCCGACTGGGGGACTTTGGCCCAATCACTGAGCCTCCCCACCGCCATTTCATTTGCATAAAACAAATACTGAGATCTACCTAGGAGCATTATGACAGCGACTAAATGGCAGGATGTCCTGGCACCTGGTGGTTGCTCATAGAGGATGTACCCCTTTCCCAGAGGTCTCCTGGGGCATCTGGAAACGCCAGCATTCTGAACCTAAGTTTCCTCCTCAGCTAAATGGGGACAGTAATGCTTACCATCTAGGGTTGTGGGGAAAATCAATATAGACTAGCAGTTTTCAAGATGTGATACCTGGAGTAGCAACTTTCAGTGTTACCTGAAGGTTTGTAGAAGATACAAATTCTCAGCCTGCTCTGGACTTGCTGAATCAGGAAACTGTGGGGCTGGGGTCCAGGAGTCTGAGTTTTAGCGAACTTGGAGGGTGGTGCTGCTGATGCGTGGTCAAGTTTGAGAGCCATTAGCATAGACTATTTAAAGCATCTGTAGAGTCAGATTGAATTTTGGCTCTCCTGTGTTACCACAAGCAAGTTATATCACCTCTTTGAGCTTCTTTCAAGTGGATATAAAAATACCCACCTTCAAGTGTGGTTAAAAAGATTAAGTGAACTAATGTCTTTATTGGGCCCAGTGCCAAGAAGAGGTTTATTATCCCCCTATTTCACTGACTCCTGGAGGCAGGCAAACTGGGGCGTATCTCCCCCCTAGATGCGCCTGGGACCTCAAGGAAGATGCTCTTCTCCAGGTCTCAGTTTCTTGCAGGATGCACAATGCAGACAATAGCACCTGTCCCCAAGAATGGCTGGAGGATGGAAGTGCTTGGCCTCAGTGGATACCTGGGAAATGTTAGATCCTTCCACTGCCCACTGTCTGTAAGCTCTGCTGGAATTGAGGACCAGTGACTCACCTCCAGACCCTCAGTAATCTCATCTGCACTGTGGGTTCAGTGGTGCTTCCCCGGAGGCAGGGGGACTGCGTGTGCAGCAGGCAGCTGGTCCAGTGCCTGGCAAGGGGAGGGCGGGGTGCCTTCATTTACCCTGGGCTTGCCATTAATCAGGTGTGGGTTGTGTCCTTAGCTCTGTCACTTGTGTGACCTCAGGCCAGTCTCCTCCCCATCTGGGCTTTAGCTCTCTTATCTATAGAATGGGGATACTAGCACTCTGGGTAAAAGGTTATTGTGAGTATATGTGCAAAGCCCCTGGAACACATTAGGTGCTCAATAAATGTTAATCTTTTGCACTGCTCTCTGGTCAGACCTGGGTTCAAATTCTGAGCCTGCCACTTACTGTTTACCTTGAGAGGATCCATTTCCTTCTCTGAGCTTCGGTTTCCCCATCTGTAAACTGGGGAACATCTTGCTTTCCGGGAGAGATAATGAGGACTCAATGAGGAAGACGTATATCAGCTGCGCAGCCCCTGGCACATAATTTGTGCACAATAAATACGTGTGTCATACAACTCTACTCCCACCTCCTCCACCTGGACTTGGCATCAAAAGATGAAGTCTCTAATCCAGTTCCATCACCCATTAGCTGCATGACCATGGGCAAATCCCTTTCTCTTTCTGGGACTCACCTTCTTGCTCTATGAAATGGGCTAATTAATTCAACAAACCTTCCAGGACAAGAATCTGAATATCAGTAAGAAAGATTAAGTGACTTGCTCAAAATTACCCAGCTAGTGCACGGCACAGTTTAAGTTGGAAACTAGGCTTTTGACTCGAGATTCTGTCCGCACACTTATTTTGAGCACCTACTATGTGCTGGTCTCTTCACTGGGCTCCAGTGAAGGTACCCTTCGCTTCGTTTAAACCCTATATTAACCCTGCCAGGGAGGTTTTCTAATCCCATTTTACAGATGAGCCAACAGGACCAGCCCCAAAGCATGGCCATCTCACATTGCTCCTTCCTTGGTGGGGGAGGTCTCATGGGGGACACAGGCATCAGAAACCCCGGGCAGCCCCCGCCCCTCCCCCGGAGCACGCCCCTCCCCAGGGAGGCCCCTTACCTGTCGCGGCCCCTCCAGTGCTCCCGCCCGCCGGGCGCGTCTGTCCCCGAAGGCGCCGAGGTTGGGGAACCCCTGGCCGCGCCTGGGCTCGTCTCTGTCCCGGTGGCCCCGCCGAGCCTCGCTGCTGCCGGAGGCCCCGCTGCCCTCTCCTTCCCCGTCTTCCTCCGTCCCCAGCGGCTGAGACCGCATCGATCCCTGCCGGGGGAGGGAGCGAGGCCGCGGGCGGCCGGAGGCGGTGGTTGCTATTCCTGACTCGGTTGGGGGGAGGAGGTGTCTGGAGACTGGGCCCAACAGCCGGGGCATCCCCCTAAGTCAGGGGCCAGGGGATGAGGAGTTATTAGGGGACGGGGGTTCCCCTAGAGAGGGATTTCAGCTGGAGCTTCTCCGACAAAGGAACAACAACAGTAATAAGAGCTTCCTTAATTGAGTCCTTCCAATGCACCAGGTACTCTGCTCCAGGTGACTTATCTAAGTTATTCCTGACACAAATTTGACAGGGGCAGGGTCTTATGTTCCCGGTTTTACAGACAAGGCTCAGTGACCTGCTCAGGGCACTTAGCTAGGAGTCATGGACCTGGGCTTGGAACTCACGTCTTCCAAGACTGGGACAGGGGCTCTGCTTTAGGAGCTGCAGAAGGTGGCCTCCTCGGGCTGTGGGCCCAGGCTCTTCCCCTATGGGCTGTGAAGTCTGAAACAGATCATTTTGCCCCCTGAAGTTGTGTCCTCACCTGCCCACAGATTCCTTATTCCTGCGTTCCAAGTGGGTTGTGAGGGTAAGGGAGAACTGTGCCAAAGAGCTTTGTCAAGGATGTGTAATCTGCAAGCATTTATTGAGCGCCTACTGTGTGCCTGTTTGGGGAGAGGGTGCTGGAGATTCAGACCTGGATACAAGAAAGGATTTCTACTTCACAAATATTAATTGTTACTACTAATAATGATATTAACCAACATTTATTGAGCACTTGCCTTGGACCAAGTATTCTACAGGCCTCATCTCATTTAAGCTGCAAATATATGCACAGGGTGGGTGCTATTATTATTCTAGTCTCACAGATAAGAAATGCAAGGCTTGGAGAGGTTCACCCAAGGTCATATGAGTAACTTCTGAGTTCTCTAGGCCAGCACCGTTCGATACATATAATGCAAGCCACACATATAATTTAAAATTTTCTGATAGCAGCATTAAAAAAAGTAAAAATTAGTGAAATTAGTCTTAATAATATATTTTATTTAACCCAGTATATCCAAAATGCTATAACTTCAACATGGAATCAGTATAGAAATTATTAATGAGATATTTTACATTTTCATTTTTGTACTGTCTTTGAAATCCAGTGTATTAGGTTTTTTTTGCTGTGTGACAAATTACCACAAACTTAGCAACTTAAAACAATACAAACTTAAACAAAACAAACAGTTTCTAGAGGTCGGAAATCTGACACAGCATCACTGGATTCTCTACTCAGAGTCTCACCAGCTTGAAGTCAAGGTGTCAGCCAGGGCTGTGGTTCTCATCTGGGCTTTGGGGTCTCTTCTGAGCTCACAGATTTTTAGCAGAATTCATTCTCTTGTGGTTATAGGACTAAGGTCCCCCTTTTCCTACTCTCTGCCAGAGATCACTCTCAGCTCCTAGAGGCTGCCCGTGGTTTCTTGCCATGTGGCCCCACAGGCAGTTCCCAACATGGATGTTTGCTTTCTTCCGGGCAAGCCAGAGTACTGACTTCTTCTTCTGGGACCAGCTAGAGAAACTCCTCTGCTTTTAAAGAACTCACCTGCTTAGGCCAGGCCCACCCAGGACACTGTCCCTTTTGCCATATAACACACATCTCAGATTCTACTAGCACTCAAAGAGGAGATTATACAGGGTCAGGGTCACTTGGAATCATCTTAGAATTCTGGCTCCTGCATCCACCTACAGTAAATCTCAATTTGGATTAATCACATTTCACATGCTCAGTAGCTACATGTGGCTAGTGGCTACCATATTGGACAGTGCAGCTCTAGGCTGTGCCCTTTCAGTTTTTCCCTCAGAGTAAGAAGTTAGAGCAGGAAGATGCTTAGCGATCATCTTACCCAATTCCCTCATTTCACCAACGAGGAAACTGAGACAGATCTACAGAGAAGCAGGTCTCCTATTTCCTGGCCTAGTACTCTCTCTGCTGCCTTCACTGCCCCCAAAACTCAGGAGGTTTCCCCTGGAGTTGAAAAGGTAGTTTCCAAAAAGAGAAAAGGTAGACCTATCTCCCAAGGGCAGAAGAGAGTGGAACCAGGATTTGGTTTCATCCCCAGATCACATGGGAGGTAAACGGAGTGTTGGATGAATTAATGAGTGACGGGAGTGGGAAGAGGGGCATTATGGGCCTCTGGGGCTAAAGGGGTATCCATACCCTTTACGTGCCATGAATGGGCTGTCCCCAAATTCTCCTTCAGTCCCTGGCCGGAAATGGCCATCCGAACCCATGAGGTTTTAGCCTAAAGAGTAAGCTTGATGTTGCATAAAGTACAGACATTTTTGTGATTAAGTAGACCTGGGCATGGCAGGCAGCTTCTAGAGTGTCACCCAATGATGTTTGCCTCCTGGTATTCATGCTCTTGTGTAATCTCTTCCCCTTGAGTGTGGGCAGGATTTACTGATTTGCTTCTTTAATTAATTAATTAATTAATTAATTAATTAATATTTTCCCCAAAGCCCCAGTAGATAGTTGTACGTCATAGCTGCACATCCTTCTAGTTGCTGTATGTGGGACGCGGCCTCAGCATGGCCGGAGAAGCGGTGCATCGGTGCGCGCCCGGGATCCGGACGTGGGCCGCCAGCAGTGGAGCTCGCGCACTTAACCTCTAGGCCACGGGGCTGGCCCCTACTGATTTGCTTCTAATGAATAGAATACGGCAAAGGCAATGGAATGTTGCTTCCCGGATTAGGTTACACAAGATCATGACTTCCTGCTGGATTTGGTGGAGCTAGTCGCCATGCTGGAAAGGCACGGCTATGAGGACAACGTCTGGCCAACAACCAGCTGAGATGTGAGGAAGTCAGTCCAACAGCCCTCAAGGAACTGAAATTCTGCCAACCACCACATGAACTTGAAAGTGGCTCTCTCCAGTAGAGGCTCAGATGAGACCCTAGCCCTGGCTGACACCTTGATTTCAGCCTTGTGAGGGCCTGAAGCAGAGGACCCACTACTCCTGGATTCTTGACTCACAGAGACTGTGAGATAATCAATGTGTGTTGTTTTAAGCCACTACATGTATGGTAATTTGTTATGCAGTATAGATAACTAATACAACTGGTTTTGAACCCTGCCTTTACCACTAAATTGCTGTGGGACCATGGGCCAGGTGATATCTCCTCTTGGATTCTTATCTTCCTCATCCATAAAATGGGAACAATACTACCTTTCGGAATTGTGGTGAGGAGTAGCACATGCTGTTCCCTCTCCATGAACAACTCTTTCTGCCCTTTCTTTACCCAGTTTATTGGCTAGGATTTAATTTAGCTGCAAGAACAAGAACTGAACCAGAGTGGCTTAATCAGAGAGGAGTTGACTTTTTTTGGCGGTCCAGAGATGGTGCAGCTGCCCATGAATGGCACTGAAGACCCAGCCTCTTTGTCACTTCCTCCTCCACTATTCTTGTGTGGCTCTCATTCTAGTAGCAGAGGATGTCAGTGCTTTGTCCATATCCCCTTGGGTCCCTTTACCACATTTATACACACTGGTTCCTGGCTCCCTTTACCACTTTTGTGCACACTGGCTCCTGGTATGCTTTCCCTCCTGACAGCTAGTCTCTGCACCTCTTTGTCCAAGGGCTTCCGTAAGGCTGTGGAGCCTGCTACACCAGCACACAGGGAGAGCCTGAAGTGCCTGGGGATTTATGTCACCAAAGCTCCCCATAGTTCTTAACTGATAACTGAAGGGTACAGAGACATAAATGTCTCTGTACATTCCGCTCCCTTGCCCCACAAGGACAACTCAGAAGAGTCACCTACACTTGTCTCTAGAACCCTCCTGTGGGACTTTGCTTATGTCACTCCCTTACTGGCCTCCTTCCCTTCCTGGTACGCTTCTCCACTCCCATACCCATTTCTCTTGGGAGCATTTCCAAAACATCACCATCCTATGAGTCTTCATCTCAAGATCTGCTTCCGAGGAACCCACCTAAGACAATCCTCAAGGTGACAAGATAGCAGTTCTACCTGAAGCAGCCATGCTCCAGGAGGGACAAATGGTGAATGGATGATGGGCAAAGGCTGAATCTCTCTCATTTGCTAGGAAAAGAATAGCTTTCTGGGAAGTTCCACCCAGTAGACTTCTCCTAACTTCTGATTGGCCAGTTCTGGATCACATGGTCTTCCTAGCTGCAAGGGAGCCTGGGGAGGAAACAATTTTTTAAATTTAATTTACTTTTTAAAATTGAAGCACAATGCTCTTATAGTAAATCTTAAGTTACAGCTAAATTAATTTTTACAAATTTATGCATCCATGTGACTGCCACCCAGGTCAAAATATAGAATGTCACCAGCACCCCAGTAGCATGGGGGGGTGGGCAAATGTTTCTAACTGGGGACATTGCTGTTGGTAAGGAAGAAGAGGAGAATGGGTGACTGGCAGTGTCATACTTGGCTAACTCCTACTAAAACCCAAGGTCTTGGCTTGGCTACCACCTCCTTCAGGAAGTCTTCTCTGGTCTCCAGGCTGAGTTAGGTCCCTCCTGGCCTCCCATAGTCTCCTGGATTCCTTCAGTCTGATGCACATCATGCAACTCTCTAGCTAGGGCTTTGTCTCATCTTCTAGGGCATGAGCTCTGTGAGGGTACTGCCTGGAGCCTGGACTAATTGCTCAGCAGACGTTTACTGAATGAGTGAGGGAAGAAAGCAGGATTGGAGATTGAAGACCCAGGCTCCTGGATGCAGGTGTCCAGCCTCCCAGGAGACTTTCCAGCAGGAGAGTGGAGACAGGTAGTGGAGATGGAGCTGGATGGACTGGAATTTGGTAGTTGAGGACAGAGCTGGTCCTGCAGAGACCTGATAGAACAGGTAGTGAGTTCGCCAGGAGGCTGAGCAGGTGACTCTAGAAGGGACTGTGTGGCTGCTGCCATCTGTAGCCAGAGAAGCTGTGGCCTTCGACCTGCCGCCTCCTGCTGCTCCAGGAACCAGCTCAGGACTCAGGGCCTCAGGACAGCCATGGGGCCCTTCGCAGCCGAGTCCTAACTGGCTCCCCTGGGAGCCTCCTCCTGGGGCTTCTTAATTTTCCTCCTGATGCCTTTCAGGAAAGAAACCCAGGGCAATGGGCTGCGTACCATCAGACTCAGGTTCCAGCTGCCTAGAATTGGGGCTGGTTCGTGTAACCTTCTTGGGTCTTCGTAATCCCCGTTTTTCAGATGGAAACTGAGTCTTCAGAGCTGGAAGAAATTTTCAAAGCCAGAATGTAATTAGTGCAGTCAACAAGGTGTAAGCTTTGGCGTCTCTCCTCGGGGTTGAATCCCAGCTCTACTAATTATAATCTGTACGGCCTTGGCCAGATTAACCTCTTTGTGCCTCAGTTTCTTCAAATGTGAAATGGGCAAAAATAATAGGGCCTACACGGTCAACTGCGAGGATTTAATGAGGTTATACATGTAAAGTAATAAAAATGACACCTGGCACAGGGTAAGTGTGCTGGAATTTTAACTGTTGTTGATTTTATCCGTGTCTAAGGAGGAATGTGGTATGGTTTGATCCTGGCTATTTCACCTCTTAGCTGGGAGTCTTGGGCAAGTCACTTATCTCAAAGCCTCTGTGTCTTCGTTGTCAAATAGGAATAACAATGCCCACCTTCCTCAGGGTTACAGGATGGATGAAGGAAATGAGTTTTTTTGTTTGTTTGTTTGTTTTTTTGTGAGGAAGATCAGCCCTGAGCTAACATCCATGCTAATCCTCCTCTTTTTGCTGAAGAAGACCGGCTCTGAGCTAACATCTATTGCCAATCCTCCTCCTTTTTTTTCCCCCCAAAGCCCCAGTAGATAGTTGTACGTCATAGTTGCACATCCTTCTAGTTGCTGTATTTGGGGCATGGCCTCAGCATGGCCAGAGAAGTGGTGCCTTGGTGCGCACTCGGGATCCGAACCCGGGCCGCCAGTAGCAGAGCGCACACACTTAACCGCTAAGCCACGGGGCCGGCCCTGAAATGAGTTTTAATGTGTGAGGCAGAGTGGGCATTCACTAAAGAATAATACTCATCATCTGAATTAGACAAGCTCTTCTTGCGATAAATCGGTAATGAACACCCCCCAAATCTCACTAGCTTCCTATCACAAACACTTATTTCCCTCTCGCAAGTCTGAGGATTGGCTGGGACAGCTCAGCTTCAGGGTGCCACAGGTGTCTTTCATCCTGAGACCAGTGACTTCTAGGCAAGCTCTTCTCATGGCAGGGTGGAAGCTCCAAGAAGGCTGGTGCCTTGCCTTGAAACTGGCACGTTGTCACTTCCACCCATATCCCATTAGCCAAAACAGGTCCCAGGGCCAAGCCCCAAATCACCAGGCCAGGAATGTATACTGTCCCCCTGGGAAGCCATGGTCAGGGTGAGGAGGGAAGGGGCGATTGGGGGCAAATAATACCATGTACTGTATGACCTGTGTTAACCACTTGAGATTATAGATGGGGAAACTGAGGCCCAGAAAGAGGAAGGGAAATATCCAAGCTCGCAGGGAGTCAGTGACTCACAGGTGGTTCTCCTTCCGTCCTCGCCCAGGCCCCGCCTTGTATCCATATAGTTAACATTTGCTGCTTTTCAGTCAGCAGTTCAGGCATTTGAATCCTGTGAGTAGGACCATGGCAGTGAGGAAGTAGAATTCTTTCCATCTTCCAACAGGGCAAACAGAAGCCCAGAGTGGTGGCTCAGCTGTGACCACACTGCCAGGTCAAGGGAACAAGGAAAGAAGACCTGGAGACCAAGCCTCGCCCCCACAGTTGACTGCCCAGCCCCAGATTCTTCTATCAGCTGAGGAGACCCAGGAGATAAACCAGGAAGGAGCCTGCTCATCTCCTTCCCCTCCCCAAGCAAGTCCTGGGGGAGAGGGACAGTCAGGAGTCCAGCTCTCTGGGTCCAGGAACGTCCTGTGGATGGCTGTCATTCCCTCATTGACCCCCCACTCATTGGACCCTGACCACAGACCGGGCCCTGGAGAAATCGAGGTGAAGGAGGTCCCCTCCAAGGGTGGAGGCAGACCCTCCCATAAACAATGACATCCCAACTGTTCAGGCAACATTTCCCCAAACGTGGAGCAATTTGGAATGATCTTAGGGTGCATCTGGATGCAACATTATTCAACATTGACTCTTGGAGTAAGAAAGTTCTAGTTCTTCTCTTTTCAGTCCTTCTGATTACCCCAGAATCATATTTTACCCCTTCCTTCTAGGGAGTACTATATTTTACCCCACCCTTCCCAAGGAGGGAGTCTCACTTTAGAGATCTGTGTCTTTAACATCTCTTAACCTTTGCTCGTCTTCATTTATTCCAACACAGACAGAGAGCAGGCGTCAGGCTCACAGTCTTGGCATGTGGCAGTATCCAGCTAGAACTTAATAGTATTATTTAACCATTAATCTGACATGATTTACTTTAATGGAACTTAGCTGTTTTCATTGCATTTTCTTTTACGGTTCCATTCTATTTGTGGCAAGTGAGCCCACTTACCTCATTTATGTAGTGATATCAAGGTTTTCTTTTGAAATAAATTTATTCACATACAAAGGAAGAAAAACATTAGGTGAATAGCAGTGCAGGCCGTACACAGAATCATGAAGCTATTTGGCAAGTATGGTGAATCTGTGAAAGAGGCAGGAGAATAGACTGATGTTCGGAAACTTGCTAGAACATACATTCGAGGTGGTTGGGCTGCCTGAGGGAGGGGTCAGGACTCTATGAAGAGAGGCCTACCTGACTGGGGCATTTTAGGTGGAAGAAACGAATGTACAAAGAGACGTGTAAGTGGGTGTTAGGAAGGATAAGAAGCTCAGTGTGGCAGTGGTACAGGAGAGGAGTCCTTTGAGGTCTGGCTATGGACCTTGACTCCCAGGAGGAGAAACCAGGGGTGGATGGGTTGCAAGGGAAGTGACGGCAGATCAGTGTTTATCGGAAGGTGGGAACCGCCGCTGACAGAGATAGTGCTGTGTGGGTGGCAGGTCGCAGGCCCCTCATCCTCATCTCTTGCTGCTGGGAACCCCAACCTGAGGTTCAGAGCTGTGGATCCTAGCCCAGAATTAGCCTGGGGAGAAAGGAGGAGAGGGTTAACCCCATCCCATAACAGGGCTCTGGGGTCTGGGCTTGATCCCCCATCCAGACCCCATCAGCCCAGTCCTGGTGGCCATGAAGGCAGGACCCACCTCTCTCCTTCACAAGGGCAAACTGAAGCCCAGAGCAGTTTAGGGTTGCGGTCCAGGTGACACAGCAAGTTCAGTAAGAGAACCAAGGATCCCCAGTTCCTCGGTAGTCCTAACAGGACCCCTCCCACTCCATCTACTTCCCCAATTCTGGCCACAGGGAGGCCCAGGCTTCTCTGAAGGTATCCTGTTAAGTGTGTTGAACTGGAAGGATGTCGTGAGCTGGGGCTCAGAGAGGGAAAGGACCTGCCCCAGGTGCACAGGAGCCATACCTCTGACAGGGTTCCGGCAGTCCCGGCCGCAGGCGCCCGGGCAGCACCTACGAGAGCCCCGACAGTCCGTGTCCGTGCGGCACAGGTGCTGGATGGGGCTGAGGCAGCGCAGCGCGTCCTTGGGGCAGCTGCCCGGCTTTACTGCAACACAGGGGCCTGGGTGAGCCCTGCCTGTGCCCCAGCCCTGGGGCTCGGGGCTTGGGGCTTCGGCGGTCAGCAAGGAGGAGACGGACCTTACCTGAGACCATACGGACACACTGGCGATAGCAAGCTCGGGAGCAGCACTTCATCCTGGAGGGACACTGGCTGTCGTCCATGCACTGGTCAAGCACTGACTGGAGGCAGGGCTCATCGTCCGGTGGACAGCCCCCCAATTTCTCTGTAAGAGAAGCCCCAAATCTTGCAGCTGGAGGCAGTTCAGAATTATGTAATAAGCACTGACCTGGGACTCACAAGATCTGAATTCTCCACCCCTTACTTGTTGCCTGTCCTCTGGCAAGATTTTTTTTTTTTGATAAATTTACCTTTACTTATTTTTAATTGAAGTGTAATTGGCATATAACATTACATCAGTTTCAGGTGTACAAATAATGATGTCAGATTTGCATGTAGTCATCACTCGGTATCCACAGGAGAGTGGTTCCAGGACCCCCGTGGACACCGAAATCCGCAGATGCTCAAGTCCCTTATATAAAATGGTATAGTATTTACATATAACCTACGCACATCCTCCCATATACTTTAAATCATCTCTAGATTACTTATAATACCTAATACAATGTGAATGCTATGTAAATAGTTGTTTTACTGTACTGTTTAGGGAATAATGACAAGAAAAAAAGTCTGTACATCTTCAGTACAGACGCAACCATCTGAGGTTGAACCCACAGAGGCAGAACCCCAGGATCTGGAGGGCTGACTGTATATTGTGAAATGATTGCCACAATAAGTCTAGTTAACATCTGTCACCACACATAGTTACAATTTTTTTCTTATGATGAGAACTTTTAAGATCTACTGTCTTAGCAACTTTCAAATATGCGATACAGTATTGTTAATGACAGTCATCATGCTGTACATTACATCCCCACGCTGTCTTTCTTTTTTTTTAGATTTTTTTTTTTCTTTTTTAAACAATTGCATTTTTTTGTGGGTGTGTGTGAGGAAGATCAGCCCTGAGCTAACATCCATGCCAATCCTCCTCTTTTTGCTGAGGAAGACCGGCCCTGAGCTAACATCTATTGCCAATCCTCTTCCTTTTTTTTTTTTTTTTCTGTTTCTCCCCAAAGCCCCAGTAGATAGTTGTACATCATAGTTGCACATCCTTCTAGTTGCTGTATGTGGGACGTGGCATGGCCACGTGGCCGGACAAGCCGGACAGGATGGCCGGACAAGCAGTGCTTCGGTGCGCGCCCGGGATCAGAACCCAGGCCACCAGTAGCGGAGTGCGCGCACTTAACCCCTAAGCCATGGGGCCAGACCCACGACTTATTTCTTTTATAACTGGAAGTTTGTGCATTTTGACCGCCTTCACCCATTTCACCACCCCCCACCTCTGGCAACCACCAATCTGTCCTCTGTATCTATGAGCTTCGTTTTTTTGGTGGTTGTTTTTTTTAGATTCCACATATAAATGAGATCATGCAGTATTTGTCTTTCTCTAACTTATTTCACTTAGCATAATGCCCTCAAGGTCCATCCATGTTGTCACAAATGGCTGGCAAGTTTTTTTTGACTCCAAGCTTCAGTTTTCTGTCTATGAAATGGGAAGCTGGACTCCTTCTTCCCAGGGCTGGTTTGAGACTCAGATGATGTAAAGAATAGGAAAAAATGAAGTTCAGAATCTCCACCTGGGCCAACCAGGCTGGGCCAGGTCTGGCCCCTGTCGGTCTCCCTGGCCTCACCCTCTCTACCGTTCCCGCTTTTCAGCTCCTAACCCCCTCTACGCCCTGCTCTTCACAGGGCCTCCCTTTGGCTGTGCCCTCTGCCTGGTGTTCTCTCCTAGACCCCATCCATCAGGTCTCAGCTGAAACACCACACCCTCAGGAGACCCTATTTCTCTGACCCAAGATTAACTAGGTCAGCCCCCATCCCACCCCTATACACTCGCACGGGTTCGTTCCTTCAGAGTCTGTGACTCTGCATCCATCTGCTTCTCTCACTTGGCCAGAGGCTATGAGAATAGACCCCCCCTACCTGCTTTGCTCACCATTCCGCTGAAGCACAGCCCTTGACACAAAACACTAGGGGCTCAGTGACGATTTGAAAGAAAGGATTTTGAAGGGAGATTCAGCATTGCAGGTGTGTTAGCTGTTGCCAGCCTAGTGCCTTATCACACAGCCACAGTCGGCCACATCTGTGCCGTGTGCTTGCACTGTTGCAAGCGGCATTGTTTCAGGGATCTGTATCAACTCAGTCTTTGAGGCAGTCCTCGGAAAGGCTCTAGAATGTTCCGTCCCGGAGCTTACCTAGTCCCTCTTCTTGTTGGGATTTTGGGCCATTTCCAGATTTCACACAGAAGGCTTGAATCATTATCTTCCTCCATTTAGAAGGAGAAATCAAGGCCTCACCTCCCACCCCTCTGCTCTGGCCACCGTTGAACCCTGGGGATGGGGACTGCTCCCAGGCCTTCACTTCAGTCTAGCATCTGAGAAAAGGTTCAAGAGCCCCCAGCTGAAGCTGAATCCAGTGCTGTGGCTTTACTTGGTGTCCACCTTCCCCTCCAGCCCCTGACTGGGCACGGGGCACACACACAGTAGGCACCTTGCTCATACAGTAAGTGCTCTAAGTCAACCAACGTCAACTGTTTGATTGGGTTGGCTTAAACTGAATTGCTGCCCCCTGCTGGAGAAAGAGCAGCTTAGCCCGTGAGGGAGCCCCCTCCTCTGGTTGCCTCTCCTCCCCAGGCTGGGGGTGGGAGGGGCCCTGGGAGACTCTCTGAGGTCCAGGGTGTAGCCCTGGCCAGCGGTGCCCAGGCCTCAAGGATTGGGCCAGATAGAGCCGCCTGAACTCAAAGCAGGAGCTCCCTGGGGGCTGGGGTGGGGTGGAGTGGATCAGGTCATACAGCCAGGGAGAGCTTCCGGAAGGAGGGGCTGGGACATGAGCCTTGAGGACAGATGGACAGACAGACAGAAGAGAGGCTGGAACTGGCATATCAAGCGGGGAGAACTGTGGCAGCAACAGTGTGGAGGTGGGAATGAACGCTGGGAGTGTGCAGGGACAGTGTGACAGGGTCACACTCAAGTCTTCATCTGCCTTTTCTAACCTTCCCTCTAAATTCAGCCTCCCCGCACACGAGGGATACATAGAGACACAGTCATACGCACTGCCAGCCATGCAGCGCACGTTAAGTCTCGCGGATATGTAGACTCAGAGAATGAAAGAATCACACCCAGACACAAATACACACACACACACACAGATACACATACACGGTCAAATATGCAAACACACTTAGATGTGTACAGACAATTAGCTATGGGCTGAACCATATGAAATTGCTAATAGTCAACTTTGATTTACAAAAATAGCAATTTCATATGGTTTGACCTATACATATACATATAGACATATATATGTACACACACACACATCCAGACATTCACAAGATAGTTAGATATATGTACAAACACAGATAGAATGTGTCATAATCACATAGTCAAATATAGAGGCATCCTGTCGTATATACATGCCTACACACATAAATATATACACACAGATAACTACACATAGACTCAGATATACACAGTCATATATATAAATATATAGAACATGTGTGGGTGTGAACAGCGACATACACGTGCATACACAGTCACATACACTCTATCATATGCACAGAGCTCCCCAGACACAGATCTATCCACCAATACCACAGAACCACCGAAAATGTTTGTTAGGCACTTACTATTTGCCAGGGACTATGCCAGGCTCTGTATGTCAGGGACCCCTAGACGTTTGAGTAGGGGTGTTCTTTTAAACAGAGGTGCCTGGTCTTCCACAGACAGCAAACCGAGACTTCCCTTCCCTCAACCCTGTCACTCCCCCATCGTCTGAGATTCTGCTGAGAGCCAGAGTCTCATGGGAGAGAACCAGGGAAGGAGGAGATGTGGTGAATTGGGAGAGAGACCAGTGCGTTCCACTTGGCCATCAGAGAGGTTCTGAGCCGGCTCAGGTTCTGCAGGTGCCCGCTCTCATCTCTGAGCAGCTGGGCTGAGTATCGGGGTGTTCTCTCCCAGTGCCCCCAGCAGCTCTCCCGAATTGCCCACTTGTGCTACACTTACTGTATGCCAGGCCCTTGTTCCTCAACACACCATTTACTCCTGAGAGAGAGGCATGAGGCCTTTTTCAAGGAGTAAGTTGGGGAGGTGAGTCTTCCTGATTCCAAAGACCTGCCCTCAAATGCCACTTCTGACACTAACTCAGAGTCAATATTTGGCCTTGGGCATGTGCTTTCCCCCCAGCCTTGGGTTCCTCATCTGCAAAATGGGGATAAAAATGGTCCCGAGCTCACAGCGTGGCAGTGAGGAGGAATGTGGTGACGGCGCATGAATCACAGCCAGCACGGACTCTGGCCCTGGAGCTTGCCAGCATCCTTCCCTCCTCTGCCGGGGGTCTCTGAGCACTCTCCTCTCCAAACCAGGCCCCAGGGAGAGAGCCCTGCCTCTGAGGAAGGCCCAAGTTAGGCTAGAGGGGGCAGAGAGGATGCAGGGAACTGCTCTCCAGGGCCCCATGTGCCCATTCCTGTCCCCTTCCCCCAAAGCAGAGGCAGGCCTGCACAGGTGTATGTAGGTCAGAGTGTTCCAGCCCCAGAAGGAGACGGGGGTGGAGGCCTTGCCCAGGTCAGGGAGGCACCTGTCTAGCTACTCCGGCAGGCCCGGCCTCCCTCACCTGTTGACAGGTCAGCCCAGCCTTTTCAGGGAGGCAAAGGAGAAGTAGAGCTTCCTCCTAACAGATCCCAGATCTCAGAAACCACACCCCCTACTCAATTCGAGTCCCTTCCACAGACTGGGCTGGGGGATTGAGAAGGTCCAAGAAGGAAAGAAACAAGATGGGCAGAGGCCAGACCAGGCATGGCCTTGTTGGCCACACAAGATGACAAAAAGGGTCATCTCCCTGCCATGTGGACCCACAGATCCGGACACCTCCATGGAGACAACCAGAGAAGAGCAGGTGCCGACAGGTTCATTCCCCGCTCCCCAGAGGTGCAGAGACACATGTTCACACATGTACAGGCACACAGGCTCGACACACACATGATGCAGTCATGCTAAGTATACATGTACAGACGCAGATTCACACAGACAAGCAGGCACAATGATACACGTATACACAGAGACAGGCGCACGCGTGCACACACAGTCCCACGCTCAGACGTGTAGCCAGACACAAACACTGAGACACTGGCAGGAAGACATTTACTGATACAGACGTGGGCAGGCTGACCGGCACGAAGACGAGCAAACAAAACGCAAGCAGCTGGAAGCACTAAGAAGCAGGCACACACACAGACACACACTCATTGCCTGCCTTACTCAAACCCTTGCTCTCCCCAGAGAGGTAGACCCCACCTGGTCTCTGGAGCACAGAAACCGACCCACACTCACCTCCCTTCCTCCTGCCTGTGGCAGCTGGCAGCTGGCTCCCCAAAGCCAGGAGGGCCACCAGGAGGAGGAGGCTCCAGGCCCTCATGTTTCTGCTGCTGGCACCTAATAAGGTCAAGGCCCAGGGGCCCCTAATTGAACACCTGCAGCTCCAGGAAGGCTAGAGCAACTGAGTCAGGGGAGGAAAGAGAAGGGTGGATGGAGTGGCACGTGTCTGCTTCATCCTGGCTCCACCCCCGCCCAAGAGCCTCAGTGCGAGGGTGCTTGTGCAAGAACTGATGGTGGGTGGGGCAGGTCCTGGGTGTTGGGGGCTAGGATCCAGTCCTGCCTGCACTGCTGACTTGGGCTGTGATCTTGGGCAAGTCTTCTTCCTCTTCAGACCTCAGTTTTTCTCATCTGTATAAAGGGTGAAGGCTGTTGAGCCAGATGCTCCCTTTCCTGGCTCTCTAAGATCTTGAAGCCCCAGCAGCGGGTAGAAGTCAGCTTTGAACGGCAAGGAGGGGTTGGCAGAGTTCTGGATGCCCAGGCAGCATTAGGGTTGGGTCAGAGCTCCCTGCAGGAGAGGGCTGGAGAAGGCTGGCCCAGGCTGGCACGGTGAGTGAGGCCAGCCCAGGCCCCCGTGGACGGGAGAGAGAGCCCTCCCCGCCTGTGGTGAGATCCCTCCCTTGCATCTGGTAGAACTGCCCTCTGCCTGGGGCTGGCTCGGCCGTCAGGGGTGGATGGAGCCTGGGTTTTGGTTTGGCTGAGGTTGCTGGTCACAGCAGATGTCGGTGGCTTCTGGGACCCGTTCCTTGGCCCTAAGGGGTCCTGAGCAAAAAGTCTTCTCAGCCAAAAAACCCACCTTAGATTTCACATTATTTGGCTCCTGCATTTGGTAGACGAGAGGCAGCTGGGGCTCAGGCTCCCAAGGGGCCCCAAACAGAAACCCCAGTCAACCCCAGTACCTTACCAGGACTGGAGGAGAGCAAGACCGTCCTCCCACCCTCCCATTTGAAAGATGAGGAAACTGGAGACCAGAGATGGGAGGGGACTGGTTCAAGGACACACAGTTAATTCCTAACTAAGCTGGGACTTCTGTCGTTGCCTCCTCATAATCCCCATCCGGTTCCTGGGTCTTGGAAGCAAACCATTACCTCATCTGACCCTGAGAAAGGAAGAGGATATTGCAGGCCAGGACAACCCTCACAGTCAGGAAGTTCTTCCTTGAGTTTAACTTGAATCCCTCATGCTGTCTTCTAAGCTCTCAGGAAAAGAGGGGCCCTTTATTCTAAGATCTAATGTTACTTTTGGAATTCTAGCATCCCCTTGGCAGCTTTATTTAGGAGAATATTTTGAGGCTAATTCTTTTCCTGATTACAAACTACACATATATATTGAAGAAATGCTTTTTCAATTAAAATTATTTTGAGGACATTTTCCTGCGTCATGAAGTGTCTTCCCATATCATCATTTTTAATGGTTCCATGGTATTTTGTAAGATAGACATGCCAAAACATATATAATCAGTTCCCTATTATAAAACGTATAGATTTCCATTTTTCACTCTCATAAATAAAGCTGTGACAACAATCTTTGTACGTATATTCTGAGTCACATCTCTGACTATTTTCTTAGGGTAAATTTGTCAAAGTAGAAATGCTAGGTCAATCAAAACGTACAAACTTCCAGTTATAACATAAATAAGTCCTGGGGATGTAATGTACAGCATGGTGACTATAGTTGATAATACTGTATGGCATATTTGAAAGTTGTTAAGAGAGTAGATCTTAAAAGTTCTCATCACAAGAAAAAAAATTTGTAACTATTTATGTTGACGGATGTTAACTAGACTTATTATGGTGATCATTTTGCAATATAATCAAATATCAAGACATTATGTTGTGTACCTGAAACTAATATAATGTTATATGTCAATTTTACCTCAATAAAAAAACAAAACAAAACAAAAATAAATGCTAGGTCAAAAGGCATGATCATTTTTCAGGCTTTGAATATCCAGTCAAATTGCATTTCAGAAAGGAAGTAAATGAGTATGTGGGACCCTCCACTTGCTCTGCAGTAGATGTGTCTTGTTTTTGTCTGCCCAGCATCCGTTCCTTTGGTGGAGTCATTGCTCCCCAGCTCCTGTAATTCTGAGGGGCTGCCAATCACCAGGCACTTCCCCTATGACAGGTGAGGGCATTTGACCCAGGTTAGAGCCACTGGACTCTTCCGTGACCTCTAACCTGCCCACCCCTCCATTCAAATCCTGAACAGAGAAGGCAGGGCTCCAATGAGAACAGTCTAAAATTCAGTTGCTGTTGCTCACAACCAAGGATCCTTAACAGATACACTCACCAGGTATAGGATGTTAAGAAAGAAGTAAATCAAATCTTTGCCAATGGAAAACAGTGTTTCATTTTAATTTGCCTTTTTCTGAATATTGGTGAGGGAGAGCATTTCTTCACCTGTTTATACTGACTGATTGTATTTCTTCTTTTGTGAATTGCCTGTTTCTGTATCTTCCCCATTTTTATTGGGGGAACTTTTTGTTATTGAGTTCTAAGAGCTATTTACATATTAAGGATACTACTAACTAGTCACGCACAAGAGGCAGTATGGTAACATGGCTAGCAGACGTAAACTGGAGTAGGATAGACCTGATTTTGAACCCTAGTGCTACCAGGTTCTAGCTGTGTGACTTTGGACAACTGTCTTAGCTTTTCTAAACCTCAGTTTACTCTTCTATAAAGTAGAGATAATAATATTTATTTTATGGGATGGTTCTGAGGATTGAATGAGATGAGCTTGATGAATGCTTATTCTAATCCCACACTGCAAATATCTGTTTCTTTGTTTTTGCTGTGGACCAAAGTTTTAAACTCCAGGGTGGTCCACTCAGTTTTTTCGTTCATATGTTCTCCCTTTGTTTTTATGCTGAAAAAAGTCTTTTTTGCCTCTGATGTCAGATAAATATTCACTACATTTACTTATAATTCCTTTATGATATTTGAAAAACATGTTAATTCCTTAAGTCATCTGAAATTTATTTTGGTTTAGGGTGTGAGATAGGGAAATATATTTTTCTAAGTTATTAAGCAGTTGTTCTAGTATCATTTAGTGAATAATTCAAACTTTCGCCATTGATTGGAAATCAGATCTTTATTAAAGACTCAGGTCTTCCATGTAACAGAGGCTGTTTCTGGATTTTCTGTTCTCTCCCTTTGACTGTTTATTCTTGTGTCAATGCCGCTTCTGTAATTGTAGCTTCACAATCCAACTTCGTGACTGGTGGTGTCCATCACCCTTCATTAATCTATGTTTTCAATCGTCCACGGCACAAGTATTCCATTTTTCTATGTGAACCTAAGAATCATGTTTTTAAGTTCCCAAAATAAATCCATTGTCTTTTGTTAAACATTTTATCATAAAAATTTTTAAAAATACACAAAAGAACAATAAATACTTTTACGAAGCCCTGTATACCCATCACCTGATTCAACAATTAACATTTTTCTCAGCTTTATTAAGATATAATTGATGTATAACATTGTGTACGTTTAAGGTGTGCAATGTGATCATTGGATACATGTATATATTGCAAAATGCTAATTATAATAAGTTAGTTAACGTATCCTTTACCTCACACAATTGCCATTCTGTGGTTGTTGTTGTTATGGTGAGAACATGAAATATTTTTTCTTTTTCTTTTTTTTGTATCTATATGAGATGATGGATGTTAACTAAATTTATTGTGAGAATCATTTCATGATATATATTAGTCAAATCATTATGTTGTACATCTTCAACTTATACGGTGCTGTATGTCAATTATATCTCAACAGAACTGGGGAAAAAAAGAGCATGATCCATCAAGAAGAAAAAAGCTCCCCTCTCATAGCAACTTTCAAGTATACACTACAGTACTGATAACTATAGTTATCAGGCTTACATCACATTCCGGGAACTGAGTCATCTTATAACTGAAAGTCTCGACGATTAACATTTTACAACACTTCCTTCTTGTATGTCCTCACCCTTTTTTTTTGGCTGAGGTATTTTAAAGTAAATCCAATGTGCCTCACATTTTACCCTTAAACACTTGAGTATGCATCTCAAAGAGTAAGAACATTTTCTCACATAATCATGATACTGTTGTCATACCTGACAAAATTAACAGTAATTTCTTAACCTCATCTAATATTCTATTTGTATCCCATTTTTCTTATCATCTCAAAAATGACTTGGTATGGTTGATTTGTTCGAATCAGAATCCTGACAAGGTGCACAGTTGCATTGGTTGTAATGTCTCCTAAGTTTCTTTTATTCTAGAACATTCTCTCCAATTTCTACATCTCCTCTTCCTTCCCTTCCTCCTCCTCCTTCTTCACGTTATTTATCTGTTGAACATAAAAGGGGAATTATTCTTTAGAGTGTCCCACATTGCTCCCCTGTGATATCTTTCAACTTCCTTCTGCTTCCTGTAAATGAACGTTAGCTCTAGAGGCTTGATGAGGTCCAAGTTCAACCGTCTTGGCAAGAACACTTCATGGGTGATGCCGTGTGCTTCGTATCACATCACCTCAGGAGGAAGAGGAGTCTCCCCGACCCACTTTTGGTGTGGTGAAGATGGGTTAATGCGTTTGAAGTGGTGTCCCCAAAGACTCCCACTTACGAACAGCAAGTAGTCTGCGAGGTGATCCTTTAGCACCCTGTAAATATCTGGTGCCAGTCAAACTTTCACCTCATGATTTTTGAAGCCCTGGATGATCACCACCTGAATCAATTATTTCATTAGGGGTTGCAAAACCCACTAGTTTTTGATTTCGATTATATTTAAGGTAGAAATTATGTGGGCCAAGACGGACATCTTTACCTTGTGAAGGCTTCCTGTTTGGGGAAGAGCAAAACCTTTTTTTATTATGGAAAATTTCAAACAGTTTTTTATCCAGATCTTTTTTTTATGTCATTCAGTAAAGTTTTGTAGGCTTTTTCCCAAAAATTTCTGTGCGTTTCTAGATATGTTTATTTGTAGGTATTTTGTATATTTTGGTAATGTTGAATAGGTAATTGTTTTTACTTTTAAGTTTTCTGACTAGTTATTGCTAGTGTTTAATAATATGAGTTACTCTTACTTATTTGCCCAGAGAATTCTTGAAATTATTTAACCTCTGTAAGTCTTAGCTATATGTTTA